CCCCTCCTCCCCGGCGGCGGCCCCGGCCGAGCGCCTGGGCTTCCGCCTCAGCTCGCTCGCCGGCCGCGCCCTCCGCTCGCCGCTCCCGGCGCGCCGGGCCGCGGCGGCCGCCGCCGCCTCCTCCTCCCGCAGGAGCGGCACCCAGCGGGTGCGCGCCTCCGCGGCCGTCGAGACCGTCGAGGCGGCCGCCACGGGCGAGCTGCTCGACAAGTCGGTCAACGCGATCCGGTTCCTGGCCATCGACGCCGTCGAGAAGGCCGTGTCCGGCCACCCCGGCCTGCCCATGGGGTGCGCGCCCATGGGCCATATCCTCTACGACGAGGTCATGCGCTACAACCCCAAGAACCCCTACTGGTTCAACCGCGACCGCTTCGTCCTCTCCGCCGGCCACGGCTGCATGCTCCAGTACGCCCTCCTCCACCTCGCCGGCTACGACGCCGTCAAGGTAACCCTCTCCCCGTCCTCTGCTTCGCCTCGCCGCGGCCCGCGATTCTTGCGTCTGTTATTTTTTTCTCCCTTTCCTGTCCTGTCATCTGTGCCGCCGATTTCTGTTAGTTGGGGCGGCGAAATCGGGAGTAGGTTTGTGCAAAGTTGGATCTTTGTTTGGTGAAACAGTCGAAAGGCCAGATCCTGACTGCTATTTTTCTTGGGTCGATCCTGTCATAGTAGAAAACGCCCTACCTTTGTCCAGCTGTCAGAGATCTGTTTCGTTAAATTTATAGTTCCTGTCAAAATTTTGTTGGAAGCTCAGATTGTGCACCTTGGATTCATCACTCATGTTTAGTACAGTAGTTTCTTAAACCTGGAGTAATCTGCTTAGGTGTTTAACATGGCCGATTTACCTCTTATGGCGCCACTGATCTTGTTGTAACCGTGTCCCCTGTTCTGCCGCAGGAAGAGGACCTGAAGCAGTTCAGGCAGTGGGGAAGCTCCACCCCGGGCCACCCCGAGAACTTCGAGACTCCTGGAGTTGAAGTCACCACTGGTCTGTCCATCTCAGCTGAGCTCACAACAACTCTGACCTGCCATGCCGGAGCATGAGACTAATTTTCCCTTTTGCTTGGCTTATGCAGGTCCTCTTGGTCAGGGTATCGCGAATGCCGTCGGGTTGGCGCTTGCTGAGAAGCACCTGGCCGCTCGTTTCAACAAGCCTGACAGTGAAATCGTTGACCACTACACGTAATATTCTGACGTTGTTGTCTTCCGTTTAGTTTGAGTGGTGCAGTACGTTAACCTAGTATGCAATTTTCTATAGGTACTGTATTGTGGGAGATGGGTGCAACATGGAGGGTATCTTGACTGAAGCTTGCTCCTTGGCTGGGCATTGGGGTCTTGGCAAGCTAATTGTTTTCTATGATGACAACCACATCTCCATTGACGGAGACACAGAGATTGCTTTTACAGAGGATGTGAGTGGCCGCTTTGAGGCTCTTGGGTGGCACACACTCTGGGTTAAGAATGGCAACGATGGTTATGACGAGATCCGTAAAGCCATCCAGGAAGCAAAATCAGTTACCGACAAGCCCACAATGATCAAGGTTACTTTCTTTTATTATCTGATGAAGAATCATCTCTGTTTTGTTGTTGTTGTTGTACAGTTCATCATATTTACCCAAGATTTTGCCCTTTTTAGGTGACTACCACAATCGGTTTTGGATCTCCCAACAAGGCCAACTCATACGCTGTGCACGGAGCTGCATTGGGCACCAGCGAGGTCGAAGCGACCAGGGCAAACCTTGGATGGCCATATGAGCCATTCTTTGTGCCTGAGGATGTCAAGAGGTTTGTCTATTGTGTGTATTGGTTATCTGAATGAGGGTGGTGAACCTGCTTGGTGTCCAGCTTATCATTTCTTTTTGCCTGAACTGTTGTGCAGCCACTGGAGCCGCCATATTCCCCAAGGTGCCGCTCTTGAGGCTGACTGGGATGCTAAGTTTGCACAGTACGAGCAGAAGTACCCAGAAGATGCCGCCACCTTGAAAAGTATCATTACAGGAGAGTTGCCCGCTGGCTGGGCCGATGCTCTTCCTGTAAGTGGTTTGCCATGTTTACTTGTGATACTTTAGCTGATATGTAAACAATGAGATCACTGATGGTAGATTGTTTGATTTGTCCAGCAATACACAACCGAGAGCCCTGCAGATGCCACCAGGAATCTCTCCCAGCAATGCTTGAATGCACTTGCTAAAGTTGTGCCTGGTCTTATTGGAGGTAGTGCTGATCTTGCATCCTCCAACATGACATTGCTTAAGATGTTTGGCGACTTCCAGAAGGATACCCCTGAGGAGCGCAATGTCCGCTTTGGAGTCAGGGAGCACGGAATGGGCGCCATTTGCAACGGCATTGCGCTGCACACCCCAGGGCTCATTCCATACTGTGCAACTTTCTTTGTTTTCACCGACTACATGAGAGGTGCCATGAGGATCTCAGCCTTGTCTGAAGCTGGAGTTATCTATGTCATGACCCATGACTCTATTGGTCTGGGAGAAGATGGTCCGACCCATCAACCCATTGAGCACTTGGTGAGCTTCCGTGCGATGCCAAACATGCTGATGTTCCGTCCTGCTGATGGCAAGGAGACTGCCGGGGCATACAAGGTGGCTGTCCTCAACAGGAAGAGGCCATCTATTCTGGCTCTCTCCAGGCAAAAGCTTCCTCATCTGCCTGGTACCTCAATTGAGGGCGTTGCGAAGGGTGGATACACTATCTCTGACAACTCGACCGACAACAAGCCTGACTTCATCATAATGAGCACTGGTTCTGAGGTAGAGATTGCTGTGAAGGCTGCCGAAGAGTTGACGAAGGAGGGGAAGACTGTCCGCGTTGTGTCATTTGTCTGCTGGGAGCTTTTCGACGAGCAGTCAGATGAATACAAGGAGAGCGTGCTCCCTGAGGCTGTCACCGCAAGGATCAGCATTGAGGCTGGCTCTACCCTCGGATGGCAAAAGTACGTTGGATCCAAGGGCAAGACCATCGGCATCGACAAGTTCGGCGCCAGCGCTCCTGCCCCGAAGATCTACAAGGAGTACGGCATCACCGCGGAGAGCGTCATTGCCGCAGCCAAGAGCCTGTAAGATCGCACACTCGTCGAGGTTCTGTCATCGTTGATGGCAAAGAACAAACACCACACTTGAAGGTCTCGTGCCCAGAAGCTTGGAATAACGGAGGGAGAGGAGGATGCCTGCGTCGGAGCGTGAGTGGTATTTTTAGGCCTGTAATAAACAATGCCTTTTCCATTTGCGTTGTCTTACATTCGATACATATCGCCCCCCTTAGATGATTCGCGGAGGGGGCGAGCCTGATCAAATTGGGGACTGGTTTTTTGTATTTGTTTACATTGAACTGATAGTCGTGCTTGCGATGCTTCTTTCTCTCCCCAAGATCATTGTCTCCATGGGTGGTTCATGCTTTGATGCACCCTTTTAGTCCTTGTAGTTTGCTCATCGTCCCCTTCTCCCATACAAACGGTTTGATGCATATAGTATCATCAATTCAATAAAAATAGAGTGTTTGCCATCAGCTCGTTGTGTTCCTTTTAACTTGTGTATAACTATTTTCTGAACTGTCATATGAAATAAGTATCTGTGAAGTGCCTTGTTCTCCAACCGTTCTTACAAGATGTCATATGAAATATGAAATGTGGCTATAACTATTCCAAGCTTGTCATATGAAGCATCTTACAAAGTGGTGATGGCATCTGGTAGCAATCCCCTACTGTGACAGATGTTGCATACGGTTGGTTCGTGCATCCTCTTGCCTGATCTGTACAGCAGCTGGTTGGCTGCACTCCATCACCCAACGTATGTGGAAGGCATGAAGGTGATCTCTTGATCCCTTTGTGTGGTTGGCTCCCCTGCACTATGAGCCAGTGAAGCCAGAGGGCCATCCAGTACGGCTAAGGAAGCTTCTCAGGTCGCAGAAATGCTTGTGGCTAGAGAAAGGGAAGTAAGATAGCCTATCCATATCATCATCCTCTTCCATGTGCTCCCAGCCTCAGGTCCAGATGTGCGTGTCCCATGCCAGAAAGTAACTACAGGACATGAGGCGAAGCCCGTACTCGCTTCCCGCTGCTGCTGGACCGCAAAGGTATAAAGTTGCCGAGTATACGCGAGGGACAAGATGGAGTGAAAAGCCTTGTGGTGTCCCAAGATCTTCTTGCCGTGAAATAATTCCCGGTGCCTTCCAAGTCTACGCAACCGATTGCTGTAAAAAAACCCAACGCCACCACTCCATCCCCCGGTGCATTTCAAGCCTATGAAACTGATCATATAGATATGCACGTTTTGCTTTGTGTATATAAGGACAATCACCTTCCGCCGTTGCTAGGATTTGGAACTGAGAGGCACGGAAGAGGCCGATATTTATCGGTTCGGATGGGAACCGGCCGGTGACATGAAGGGTGCCTCGCTGGCCCACCGCATTGCATGGCTTGTGTACTCGTCAATATTGATTTTATCTTCACCTTTATGTGTGATAAAGCTATATATACTTTCCATGTCATAGGTACTCATTGGTTGCACACCGCCCAAACATAAACCAACATATTGCATATAATGGACACATGATGGCTAGCCTGACAGTGTAGTTGAAACCAGGGTACTGTATCATGTTGTGCTGAGTTGGTTGGAGGTCCTCGGTTTCATGGTGTACATCCAGATCCATCTCTCCTTTCAAGTCCCTGTTTCAGCCTGAATGGTTGTCTTATGAAAAGCAAATCACTCTTCTAGTTAAACATGCTAGAACTTGCACAAAACAGACCCAATATATTTCTCAACAGAAAAAATGCTCACATGAGGAGATCAGTCGACCGAGGAGCGCAAGTACTCCCTGCTGCTAGGTAGCCACCCTCCCCTCCCTGCGCCGCTGGCCGCTCCGGCCGCAGCGGCCACCACCCCGCGCCCAGCATGGGCGCGCCGCCCCACCGCCCCGCTTCCGCCTTCGATCTGCATGGCCACCCTGCTCCTGGCACCGACCCGCGGGTCTCCCCGGCGCCCCCTGCTCCATCCCCGCCCGAGATCCCGGGCCATGACGCGTCTTCAATGCCGGATCCGGCGGCCCCGCCGCGCCTGCTGCTGCGGGGAGACTGCTCTATGGCGCCTACCTCGGAAGACCCGATGGATCTCAGCCCCCACCCCGCAGCCCGACGCCTTCAATCCATCGTCGTCGTCCCATCCCCATTGGCCGACCATTCCCCTTCAGGAATGGACGGTGACCGGACCGAGGTTTCCTCGCGCAAAAGCCGCAAGGCAACCCTGGATTCGCCGGTTCCTTCAAAGAAGAGCGCGACTCTGTGCTCGGACCGGCGGCCGGACTTCAATGCGGTGGGTGGCCGAGAGGCTTTCTTAAGACGTTTCCGCGGCCGCTGTTTTCGCTGCCTCAGCAAGCACCACCGTAGAAAGGACTGCCGCGACCCTCTCCGCTGCGTGATCTGTGAGCTCTGCGGCCATTTTGCCAGAGAGTGCCCCCAAAATCCACGAAACGGCCATGGCGGTCCTGCCTCCAATAGGTTAGGTCCGCTCCCTCCTCGCTCCTCGGTCCACTCTCGCCTTCGTTTCCCCACCCCACCTCCACCACCGCTGGTACCTCCATCCCCGACGACTGCCGGCATGGCTGAGCTCAGCCTGGTCGACCCGGCCAGGCGTCCCCGCGCAAGCCACAAGGTCGGCGAGTCCACCCCAGCCATCGAGCAGAGCATCTTCTTCCTTCGACGCCACACTGTCACGCTGCGCGCGGCCGACGGAATCTACGCCACCTCGCCCATGGCGGTGGGCCGCGCTTTTGAGGCACAGCTGTGCGTCCCACCGCACCACTTGCGGGAGACGGCGCACAACCCAGAAGACTTCTTCGTCATCTTCACCCAGGCTGCCCACCATGACAACGCGGTGCGCCGCGGCTCCCTGCGCGTCGACGGCGTCAACTTCAACATCGCGCCCTGGGGCGAAAACGACCATGCTGGCCATGGCATCTTCAACCTCCATGTCCGTTGCGTCATCGAGCATCTGCCTCAGCAGTACCGGACCCTGGAGGGCGTCCACGAGGTGTTCGGAGACAAGGTGCGCATCGACAGGCTTGACAGCCGCACGCTGGAGCGCGACCACACCAAAAGCTTCGCTTGCTGGGTGTGGGTCTGGGACATGGCGTTCATCCCCACCCGGCACACCTACTAGAAGCTACCTCAGGGCGCCGACCGGGTCGAAGAGATGGAGGGCCACTCGCCGCCCGATCGGCGTGTCGCCCTGCCGCCCGGCGCCGAGCGCTACGACCTCCTCATCCATGTCGACAGGGTGGAGGATTGGTCCCCCTGCTCTCCTCGCTCCTCCCACTCAGCTCAAAGCGGCCTGCCCTCCTCCGACTCCGACCACGACGACAGCTTGCCACGCACCTACACGGGCACTTGGGTCATGCATGTGGAGGACGACAAGATGGAGGAGCGCCATCGTCGCCTGCAGCGCGCGCCGGTGGTGGACACGGGCTGCCGTGGCCTTCCCCGTGGTGGCCCCCGTCGTGACGATGAGGGGACGGGAGACGGCGGTGGCGGTGGCCGGCGCTCCTGGAAGGACGCGCTGCTTGGGCGCGGGTGCGGCTCCAACGCCTCGTCAGGAGCGGATGGGGCCACCGGCAGAGTGCGCCGGCGCAGCCGCTCCCCCCACCCCCACCCGCCGCCCTGGAAGCTCAAGAAACCATGACCAGTATGGCGGCCGTGACCGTTCGTCCGGCAAGGCATACCCAAACAAGAAGAAGAGCGGCAGCCAGCGACTGGCAAGTCAGGTGCACGTGCCCACGCCTACTCCTCCCGCACGTGCACCTGCCCCCGACGGCGTCGACGAGTTCTTTGCCACGACTGACAAGGCCATCCCCGCCCCTGCTCTCCGGGGACGTCGTCGCGGCCCAGCTCGACGAGATGATCGCGGCATCGACGGCCGTGCCCCTTGACTTCGATGAGGGCGCAAGCAAGAGGAGGGGCATAGAAGCAGTGGAGATGCCGAACGCATTCAGCCCCACGCTCTCTGGAGCATGCCACAACCCGGCCCTCCTCAGCTGCCAGATGCCCACGACCGTGGCCACGGTTGCCGTCCAGCTGGGCGAGGTGACGCAACAAGTTCAACACCTGGAGATTGCAGAATCATCTGCTGCACCGCGACGCCTCTTCTGCGACAAGCCGACCCCCTGCTCGCCCAACCGCCATCCAAGCATAGCTCTGCTCCACCCAAGGTCCGAGCTACGTCAGTTCCCCCGCCGTGTCAGAGCGTGCGTTAGGTGGCCTAGAACTGCAAGGTGCCCGTGGCGCAGCGCGGCTCGCTCCGCCTGGTCCAGGGGCTCGGCCTCCTTGGCCCGAAAGAGAAGATGATGAAGAAGGCTGCGGAGGCGCTCGTGCGCAGGTTCGATGAGCCTCTGTCCGACGAAGATATCGCCGTCATCGCCAAGCTCACCAGGCTGGGCAAGGACGCTCTGCGTATCGCTGCTGGCCTCAACGGGCCGGAAGGAGTCACCGAGGAGGCCATGGTTTAGTTATGTTAGGAACCAATCTGTGTTGTAGCTGTAGCAGTAGTTTCCGGCGATGGCCAGCACTCGGCTGGTCGGAGTTAGGTTTGCTTCTTTCATGTAACAGTGCAAGGCTGAGGCCGGTCCGTCGCCGTCGTGGTTTGGGGCCTATTGGTGGTCGACGGCGTCCCCCGGAGAGCTGGATGGTGTACCTATTCGCCTTTAGTGTTTGTAGTCGCCGGAGAAAACCATCAGTGTCCCGATGAATGACGAACTTCACTCCCCCCCGATCATGAGCTGGAACGTACGTGGTTTGAATTCGCCGGCGAAGAGAGAAGCAGTTAGAGAAGTAGTTGCTGCTCACCGGACCGCCATTCTGTGCTTGCAAGAGACCAAGATAGACGTTTGGTCGCCAGCCCTCGTCCGTGAAATTGGTGGACAAACACTGCAGGGCTGCGCCGTAATGCCCTCCATCGGCACGCGCGGTGGCATTGCCATCCTATGGAACAAAGATCTTGTAGATGTCGTCACCCATGCTGTTGGCCAATTTGCTGTCACGATCAGGGTCACCGTAGCTAGAGGCCACACACCC